AACACATTTATTTATATTGGTATTATGACAGTGAAATTCCTGCTCATTGGACTACCTGGACTAAGCTGTTGCCACCAACAAACCGCATATGGCCAAAAGAATTATGACACATGACAAGAGACGTGAATTTACTGCTCTGAGAGCAAGGTGATTTGGCCACCACTTCATTTATTGCCATCTGCTTGTTTCACTTCTTCATCCAGAATTTATTCCTTTTATTTAAATAAATTTTAAAAACCCTACTTTGTCCAGGTTCACAAGTGTTTCATTTCAGCACCAATTGACAAAGTTTACGGATCCCTAATTTTATCAAACTATGCAAAAAGCTAGAATAATTTTGGGACAACTGTGTTACAAATCCTTTTTTACCTAACAGTGGTCTTTTTAGAGAATGTTCTAAGCCTATCCTGCCTATCTACCAGCCTATCCTGGTAGGGTACAAAAGCCTTTTGTCTTCATGAAGAACCTGGATCAGGTCTTCAAGCCCTTTAATACAAAAAGATCTGTTTAAACTGTTATCTACAGTATAATAACAGAATTAAAGATTCAGATTTTCTCCAAATGTATTTAAATGCTATCCAAAACTTTGAAACCTTACACAGTCCATACCATTTATCCAAAACAGGCCCTAATTTAATATAAAATGCCATTCCCCAGTATTTTTCTTTAGAGTTATGAATTGCCATACTTTTAATTCATTTTTTTGATCATGACAACCTTGTGCCAAGGCCCTTTTGTACACCAGTAAATTGGTACTGGCTGGACCCTTTACGTCTGGCAAGTTTTCACACCTCTGAATAGTAAATGATATACAGTCATTCAGTCAGTGTCAACTGGCAATATGGCACACAGATGCCTACTATTCTGCATCCAGTACTGTTCATGTAAGCTCTGATGCATACTCTGCCTCCTTGCTACAATTTTTCGGTATTATCATTAGTTGATGAGATTGTAACACTGTACAAACCCGATATTCTTCTGCAAAGTACACATATGGCTGTATGCACTAAATAATGCCTAAATTATGCTGCTATAATTCTTTTTAGGTCAATGATGTGTCTCTAAGGTTGCATTATTGTTGTATTATTATTGTAATACAGAATTTTTATGGCGCCAACAGTTTACGCTGCGCTTTACAACATGAGGGCAGATAGTACAATTACAATACAAATTAATACAGGAGGATTCAGAAGGCCCTTCTCGTTAGAGCTTGCAATCTAAGAGGGAGGATTGAGAGATACAAAAGGTAATAACTGTGGGGGACAGGCTGATGGACAAAATACATGTACAGTTGTTGGGTGGGGGCAGGATAGGCTTCACTAAATAGATGAGTTTTCAGGGATCATCTAAAAGTGGACAGAGGGAGATAGTTGGACACATTGGGGAAGGGAGTTCCAGAGGATGGGAAAGGCTCTGGAGAAATCCTTGAGGCGAGTATGGGAGGAGGTGACAAGGGAGCTAGAGAGCAGGAGGTCTTTGGTGGAAAGAAGACAACAATTTGGTTGGTATTTTGAGACCAGGTTAGTGATGTAACTAGGGGCTGAGTTGTGGATGGCTTTAAAAATTGTTGTAAGTATGCTGAATTTTATTCGTTGGGTGAGTGGGAGCCAGTGGTGGGACTGGCAAAGAGGGGTGGCAGACACTGAATGGTTGGTAAGGTGGATGAGTCTGGCAGCAGCATTCATAATGGACTGAAGGGGGGGGGGGGGGGTAGCCTATACACAGGTAAGCCAGTGAGGAGGGAGTTGCACTAGTCAAGGCGGGAGATGACCAGGGAGTGAGTTAGAACAAAGCAGTCCCAATCTTCCACTTCATGGGTACCCAACTGGCACTTCTGGCTGCTCCCAAGAGTGCCCCCATAGCAAGCTGCCTGCTCTGGGGACACTTACGTGTGCATGATCCTGAGCCAGCTGTGTGTGTCTATAAGACGCACAGAATGCGACTTGGCCTCACCTCTTGCACCATCCCCATTGGCTGTGATTGACAGCAGCTCGGGCTCAGGTAAGTATTGGAGGAGCTACATAGAATGTATGAAGATGGAAAACCTTCTCCCTTTACAACCACACTAACTAGAACTCAAACAAAAGAATACTAACTTATTAATGTTCAGTGTTGCCCAAATTGATTTTTCAACACCTCTTGTCCAACCCTCGGCACCCCCCCCCCCACACACACACACACCAACTGGGTTTTTACCCCATGGTTCTTTATATTATCTTAGGTAATTAATTTTGTAAACCAGAGAATCTTGCATTTTTACCTTAGTCTCTATATTTACTTAACAGTAAGGGTTGGTGGACTCCATATGCAGTCCAGTGCATTTTATTCTGCATCAAAAATGCATGTGCAGTGTTTTCCATGTATTCCAGTGGTCCTAGTTCATACTAGTGCAGTCAGTTCCAGTGCAGTCAACAAAAGTAGAGCCCAGTGCATTTTTCTTCTGTGGAACACACCAAAAACGCACTGGAATGCATCTAAACAATACACATTGTCCTGGATTTTTCAAGCTTCAAAATGAGAAAAAAAAAATGCTCTTGAACGTATCAAAAGTGCATGTAAACGCAAGTGAAAAACACATCCGGAATGCAGAATTTGTGTGTGAACCAGCTCTGAATGTTTTTTTGTTAATACTATTTGAGAAACAATGGTATTATGCACTCCTATGCACAATGTGCTTTTGAAACCACATGTTCTACTTATTTATGTTTTGTTTTTTTTCTTGGAGGTTTGATGTTTTTGATCCATCATGTCATCAGTTAGGATATTCATTATCACTGTTTAAGGGCAAATAAATATTTTATTGCAAATTAAAACATCCTCTTAGCATTAGACCCAGATATGATCTAAAGAGGATTGTTTTAAATAGTAATTAAAGGTTTTTCAAGTATCATTTAATTTCTGTAGGACTTCATAATTTGCAGAAAAATATATGGTGTTGTGTAAGCAGAGGAAAATGTATTGGGTGTCCTTTAAGTGGTCCTGCTTCTCTGGCCTGTGAATGTATGAAAGGAGGTGTTCTCTACTGTAGTCAATAGAATATTTCTGGCGAAAAGGCTGGCCAAAGACTGGAAACGAACAGCAAGTCCCTGGTCATACTGGATGTGAATTGGCATGCGATTTGCATGCCATGCGACTTGCAAATCGAATGCTAAGTCACACCCTATTGTCCCCAATTAGAGAGGTCATATTGGTGCAGTTCCAACTTGGTCGGAGCCACACCGATTTCTAAAGTAGTGCATGCAGTACTTTTGGTGCGATTTGCATAGCCATCTGTGTCCGATGTCTTGCAAATCGCACATGAAATTGGCAAGTCACTGTAAGTCGCACGATTTCAAAGTTGGGTTTGATGTGACGGGTGTAAACCTTCTTCCCATTTTCCCAGTTTCAGTGTTGGAATGTCCTTACTGCTTTTGGCTGATAGATATCCAAAGAAAAAAAATCCGTTCATGCCGGTTTGCAGAGTGCTTTTTTAGAATTTCAGAAAATCTGTGTCGGACATAGAATCTTATGCTGACTGGACATTCTTGATCTCCAGTGAAATGCCTGCACACCCTGATTACCTCATGCGGTGTTCCAGTTGGTTTCATTGCTTGTAACTGTGATACTGTGTATGGCCAATATAACCTTTGGTAGATTAATGGTAGCTAGGACTAGACGGGATGCTATGGTAATACCTTCATTTTTCTTAATTTTTAAAGAAGAGTCATATATTCTATTTTAATTAATGTGCTGAATATTTTTTTCCATTGCTTATTTTTTTTCTTCTGTATGAAATGTTGACTGCAAGAAAGTTGAATGTTACATGGTGCTGAATCGTTTTGCTGATTTTAGTAAAATGGTTCACTGCACTCTGTGAAAATGCATTACAGAGCACAAAAACACCCTAGTAAGATCAGATATGCCCTTTCCATGCATGTATTTACTCAGCCGAATAATTCCGCTCGCTCTTATTATGCTGTATATGACGTTCTCAGCACCATACATCTGGTCCACAACACACAGGCACAGAGTTTTTTTCAGAAACCACATTGTATGTGTGTAAGAGCTGGAGAGCTTCTGGGTATTCACAGTTCTGCAGTATTTTCAGATATGTTTTGAACAAGTTTGTATTTTTTTTTCTATTTATCACTATCCAAACAGTTTGTCTTGTTCAGGTTTTTTAAATTTTTTTTTGTCATAAAGCTTTAAAGGCTTATTTGTCCCTGTTAGGGTGCTCTGATAGGAATTTTATATTTTTACTTATTACAAATGTTTCTATAGCACTGACAATTTATGCAGCACATATTGTACATTCACATCAGTTCCTGTTCTTAAGATTTATTAATTAACATCACTATCTCACATGCGTATAGTACTTACACATTGAACCACTTTGGGCCACTTTGAACAGGAGCTTATTAACTTATCAGCATGTCTTTGAATTGTGGGAACCAGAGTACCCAGAGAAAACCCACGCACAGGGAGATCACAATGACAGCTGAATGACATTTAGTTTACTAAAGTAAAGTGTATTCTAGACAGTTTTAATTTTTATATAACTAAATACATTACTTGTTTTCATACTTTTTTCATCCTTTGCATGTAGGTGCTGTTTATCTCCTGCAGCCTCTTTTAAAGACACTTGTCTACATACCTGAACCTTAACAATGGCTGCATAGCATATTTGAAAGTGGGTTGTCTGATGGTGACAACAGTGAACCATTCCTGGGTAATTTTTTGTTGCAATGGCCATCAGAAGTGTTGTCACCTTTATATCAGGAAGTGCCTGAACAAAGGGACCTTTAAAGCAGAATTGCCAGGATTTATTTTAATGAAAAATGCAGATTTTAAAAATACTGAAAATTAATTTTCAAATTACATAACGTTGAAGCATATATGAGATTTTACTGGTTGGGTTAACTTATCGATAACACTGTGTTTACTGGTAGCTTCCAAGTATTTTATGATTTTATACTAATCGTGTGATATTTTCCTTCTTCCAGGTGCCTGTATTGAGGCCCATGGATCTAATGGTGGAAGCCACACCACGAAGAGTGTTTTCCAATGCACATACATATCACATTAATTCAATATCTGTGAACAGCGACTATGAAACATACATGTCAGCAGATGATCTAAGGATAAACCTATGGAATCTAGAGATAACAAATCGAAGTTTTAGTATCCTTTTTGTTCCATATTAAAGGACTTGTCTGTAGACCACCAATGTATAATGCTTTCCTTTATCAGGGTAACAATGTATGAGCAGCTTCCAAAGCTTTGAAGCCAACCTTTCTACACTTGCCCTACATATACAGTATATCACAATTTGATAGCTTTTCCTTCCTTTGTGAAAGGTTGGGACAGTGGGTGAATCTGTATGGAAAGTGGGTAGGTGTTGTAGTCCTTCCTGCCATTTCTTTTAGATTCAATCAGGACATCATCTGGATAGAAAAGGAAACAAGAGCAAACAAAAAAATAAATTGAAAGTGTAGATAAAAGCTTTAAACCCTATGTGTCTGGCACGTTTTCATTATCCAAAATAAAAAGTTGGGCTTTAAACTATTCTGATGACTTTGCCATAGAAATGAAAAGTGAATTTGTACCAGTTTAGGCAGATGTGAATGTTTTGGCCTTAACTTTTTGTCCTCCAGACATTGTGGATATTAAACCCACCAACATGGAAGAACTTACAGAAGTGATAACAGCTGCCGAATTTCACCCGCATCATTGCAATACATTTGTATATAGCAGCAGTAAAGGAACAATCCGGCTCTGTGACATGAGATCTTCAGCTCTTTGTGACAAACATTCAAAGTGTGAGTAATTGTCGTTTTTTTTTTTTTTTTTTTTGCTTTTTTAAATTCCTTAATTTGTTCATTCTGTAAGTATTGGATTGCTTTCTCCACTAAGAAATCTATCAAATCCCACCTGTGTCATTGCATTTCTCCTTGCCTCTGACAATTCTTTGCTAGCTGCTGGAGAAATAGGAAGATGGTGCTTTCTCTCAACACAAAATGTGTGTAAATTTGATGTGTTCTGACTAAGGGCCACCCCTGGCTCACATAGTGCCCTAGGAAGAAATCTGTTGCTGCCTGCAGTGGCAGGAAGGCAAGATTTAATAGTTGCTAAGGATAGGTTCTTACTGTAACGGATTTGTGGTCCATGTTTGGATGGGCATGGCAGCCTGCGTTTCCCACAAAAAAAAAAAATAGGTTCTTGGACCATTTTTAAAATGCATTCACAAGGAGATCACATGGTGCTTTTCTGCAAACACGCTGCCGGTTTAGATACGTGGAGGTGCAATTAAATGGCAGCCCCGCGTGTCTCTACAGAGCAGTATATTTTGGCTGTGGGTGTGGGAACAGCTGCAATACCTGCAACCACCCACTACAGTGTGAACCTAACCTAAAGTAACTTGAGGGTCCAATTCAAATGCATACAAGTTTTAGGGCCACTGAAAATGGCAGAATCACAACAATTTTAGTATTCTCATGACTGTAGTCTCTTGTACTGGAAATTAGTGCCTAACACAGAGCAATAATATAAAAAAGTCACACTTGGGGGTAATTGCTAAAGAGGATGAAGGAATACACAGTTGTATGAACGGTATTTTTAGTTGCCTACTATTTGGCTTTAAGTTCATATACCTATTATTTAGACATTTTATTCAGAGGCTCATCTGATCAGAGGAAAAACTCATGGACATGAATCAGTTTCTGTCACATGAAGCACAAAACGACTTCTACTGATGACTGGTGACGTGCATATGTTCAATGTAACACCACTTTTATATAATATAAAGTGTTAACTTCAGAGGCATCTAGTCTTTTCCCTGGCTCTTCTTGCAGATGTGGCTGCCCTAAATTTTCCCATTCATGGCAGGTTATCATCATTAGATTGTGTTGTAAAATGGGGAGAGCGTGACAGGCAGCAGAAGGAAGTGTCCCTTAATTAACTAAAAAGGAAGGATACAACTGTACAATACACATTAGCTGGTTCAGTGAAGCATTGGGTGCATACGAATGCCCTTAACCTTTCTGGTATGTGACCTGAGAATTGTAATTAGGTTGGAGAAGAAGCTGTTAGAAATACAAGAGAATATGCTGTACAGGCCACTGCCACAACACAACACATTATTACAAAATTACATTTATCAGAGAGCTTTAAAACTTTGTGCGCTTGACCATTTAACTGCCAGGGCATCCTAATTGGGTAATTAGTAACATACCCAGCATTCCTCCTGTCTGCAGTACTGTTCCTTGTTGCATTAGGGACTCCTTAGATGCACCTTCATAGGCCTCTGTTATCTATTTTGTGGGCAGGACAAACTATTTTTTTTTTTTTTGTGCCCACAAAAACACGGCAAACGGATGTGCACTGCAGTGTTCACACCGTGTTCAAGAGATCAATTGCATTTGGCTGTCATACAGCAATGATATCCGCCTCCACAATACTCCAGTACTTCACAAATATCACAGAATCTAAAGAGAACACAAAGGCAAACCCCCTAGTGTAGTAGTTGGAAAATAGAATCAAGTTTCTTAGAAAACCAGATTTGGTAGATGAAAGAGCGACAATTACACTGAACAGCTCTGCCAAGAGTCCATCGGCAGGTGTCCTGAAGTTGCGTAACAAGCCCTGCCCATCACGTTTCGTCTCTGCTCAGACATAGTCAGGGGAGAGAGGCAGCTTTCATAGCTGGATATCATAGATGTATGACAGCCAGGCGCATTTGATCTCCTTTGTATGAAATGTCTACATTCTGCTAAGGAGTTTTTGAGCATGGGTGAACAATGGGAAGTGCACATCAGTTTGCTTTATTGGGGGCACATTGGGCCTTTCACAAGATTGGATACTTTGCAAGAAATATTGCACTTTATGATTGCGGCTTGCACTATTTATTGTCTGTATTGGACTTGCATTTGGACTTGTTTATGTCACTAATTATGCACTTGATGTTTTGTGTTTGAGTCGTTACTAATATTTGTTCAGAGGTTAGTGCTTTTGCTTTTAACCAGTCAGCTACTGTCTTTCATTTTAAAAGCCTAAGTGAACAAGCTGTTGATAGAAGCTGATTGGTTACTATGCAGATCTGCTCCAGTTTTGACATTTCCCCCTCCCTCTTTCTAAAGAGAACATGTTCATGCAAATTTTAGTTTATATGAGCACAGCTGTACTTACTCTAGCTACACCACTCATGTACTAGAATGAACTAAAGAATTGGTTATGTGCCCTAAAACTAGAATCAGTTGTTTTAAATGCCTAATTTCAAAATTCCCTTTAAAATATTTAAAGGTAAAATGTATAAAAATATTTTTTTTTTTAGGATATGAAAGCCAGAATATTTTAGGGTGTTTAAGAATTTACAAGGGTCTCCCATACTTGTGTTATAAAATGTGTATCATCGCGTAGCAACTCAAGATCGCATTAATTGGAGTCAGCCCTCACACCTGTGTGTTCCCCGCTTCTCCACAAACTAATTTTTGATCAATTGCAAAGAACCTATAGTGTGGCACTCCGCAATTATACATCAGAAAAGACTTGGTGCTAAAAAATGTGTATAGAATAGTGTATAAACTACAAATAATTGTACTCAAATTATAAATACATTAGGCCCCTTTCAGATTGGCATTCCGATTAGATCTGCCTGTCAGTTTTTCAGGCAGACATAATCAGAAAGTCTATTCATCCCAATGGACAGGCAGGTGTAAACAGACTTGTGTCCATTTACATCTGCCTACCACCGGATCCAATCAGGCCCACTAAAAAGAAAAGAAATCCCCATCCTCTTCTGTTTAGGTGGGGCAGATCAGAGGTAGCCGGGTGTATATGGACAGCAGAGTCCGTTTACTCCGGGCCACCTATAGAGCAGAGCAGACTTTGCCTTTCTGCTCTGCAGATACAGAGGACTTGGATGAGTTATTCTCCCACTCCTTGCATCAGCAGGGTATCAGCTCACAGATCCCCTGCTGATCACAACAGAATACGCCCTGTGTGAAAGGAGTCTAAACATAAATTCCAAATAATGGTGCTCAAGTTAAAAAATAAGTGTATACAGTGTAAATAAAGTTCTATATACAATGTTGCATTGTGGTGTTTTTAGGCTTTTGTTGCATATCATACCAAGAAAATGTGTGTTTTATACTGTATATAACACAAAAAAAGTGCTATAATGTAGATAATATATAGAAATCAAAATTGTATGTGTATATCTCTCTTCTTGAACACAACTGCTACCTTATCCTCTAGCTTCAACAAATATGTGCAAAGTTGGTCGCTTACCCTATTTGGTACACCTCCTCCTAAGTACAAAAGTTCAAAAATAGCCTGATCAGAACAGCATCACTCTCCAGCAATGGAGCCGCTTGTTAAGGAATGCAAACTATCTTCTGGTCAACTCTCATTTTCCACTATATTATCATCTCCTCGTCACGGGATGATGTCACTATCAGCACTACCCTGCTTTACGATGATGTCACTACCCTGCTTTACGCGTTACAACCATGGGGCTTCCTCAGAAGCTAGGGGCCAATAGGATCTCAGCACTCTTTTGAACATACTCCTACCCTCTGCTAGGAAACCTGTAAACAAGATCTCCCTCTGCTCACTGTGTAGCTCAGTAAGCAATTCCAAGAGCTGGGAGAAAACTTAACTCTTTCTCATACACCCCACCGTTGCTAAGAACCTTGCTATATAACACCTCAGAAAGATGATCAATAAGCAACTATAAGAACTGGGAGAAAAACAAAACTCTTTCTCATACTCAAAAGGTGTTGTTCCAGTAAATTAATACATAGGGGATGCTGCCTGATTTTACAGATATATAAAGTGTGTAATCCTTCTCCATACCAGAAATAGAATCTTTCACAGCAAAAAAAACGTTCTATCCATTCTAATACATACCATAGATAAAAATCAAAATACTTCAAAACCTGTCTATATCACATACATATTATGCTTAAAACGTCTAAGTGCCTGCATATAAAATATATATTTTTATTTATTAGGTTTTAATAAAATACATATACCTCTAACTCCAATTAGTTTACAATGATGGTGTAAACCCCCATACCCTCAAATCCATAAAAATAAAATAAAATTGTATGGGGGTTTTTTTTTGTTTTTTTTTTTATTGCAGGGTATCTCTAAATAGACTGGCTGGCCTCTATCCTAGCAGTGAGGCTCCTTTCACACTAATGCAATTTTAGATGCTACTTGAGTTGCAGTGAATCACATGACAATGGAAATCATATTGTTTCCATTGGTACCCATTCACATCGATGGAAATCAGTACAGCACATTTTTTGTAAAAGGTTCATGTATTACTATGGGGCAGTTCCAATTCGATTTTGGCCCCAAAGAATATGCAAAGCATAAAATATAGCATCCAAGTTGCATCACATAATTGAACTAAGTCAGATCAAAATAAGACTGCAGCAGTGTGAACCTAGCCTGAATGAGTATTTGTCTGCCATCATTCTTTGTGCAATACAGCCCCTAGCTTTTGCCTATTTACAGCCACCAATGGCACTGCTTCTTATGAATGGATCTGGATATTGGATAAGCTAGGTAACAAGAGGGCGAGCCCGTTCCACACTGGCTCATAAACAATAATAGCCAGCGTGCGGCAGACCCTTTCACTTGTCTAAGACATCATAAACTCAAGGCAGGGGACTCGGGCAAAGCAATATATACAGTGAAGGAAATAAGTATTTGATCCCCTGCTCCCTAGGTCTGGTGCACCATGCAAGATCTTACCTCGTGGTGTGTCAATAATCATGAGAACAGCGAGGAATCATCCCTGAACTACACGTGA